CAAAATATTCAGAGGTAAGTGGTGAGGTAAATCCTAAACGTCTCCATGAACAGTACACTGAGTTCGAAGGGAGAACAAGAATTTAACCGGAAAAGATCGAATCATTTTTATTTGTTCAAGTAGGTGACCTGTTCTGATCTGTTCATTTCCTTCTTTTCAATTAATTTTCTACGATCACGCCATGGGAGTAAGTCAGTAGTATGTAACATGGATAAATCATGGTCAATTACATTTTTCAACTTTTTTTTAAGTGAAACGAGCATTTCTTTGCTGCTCAAATGAAGCCATGTCAAACCAAATTTGAATTAAAAACACCAGTTTCAACATTGGTTATAACATAACACGGGTTATTTTAATAATTTTGCATGTTGCTTAATTAGCAACGATCTCAACGACTTGAAAAAGCTGTCTGAGCTCGCCTTCGCCAGCAGTGTACTCTCTGTTTGGATGAAACAGCAGCCCTTCGCTCTTATCGACGAAAATTGATCGGACAAGAATGATCGGACGACATCTATTCCTTTTGGCTCTAACTGTTCTCGGTAAGAAACTGTTGGTTGTGTAAACAGAAGTTGCAGTCTGCACAATGAATGTCGTGAAGACATTTAATTTTTTTATTTAACAAACCTCATTCTGAATACAAAAATTGATGGTTAAATCTTTTAAAATCATCATTTGGTCTCTGATACTTTTTATCTTAGCCTGCAGCATTCAATTCAATCCTAACCTTACCTACGTTACGGAAAGCTTTCTAATTTGGCTCTAGTTACTGTAGAGACTGTCTTTGTTTAATTGGAAAATATTTTCAATTTTCAGCTCGTTCACAATGTAATTTTTCTGATCTGAAGTCAAATGGTTTCCTAAACCGAATGTTGTTTTCAAACATCGAGCTGAAATACACAACTTAGAGTGTCGTTTCGTTTTCACCTAACATGTTGACACGTCTGCATCTGTAAGTGTTTGTAGCTAAGGCGACTCAATCACTTGATAACGACCAGAGATTCTTTGCGCTCGGGCTCTGTGGCTTTTAGAATAGTATTGGGGTAGATGGAACCTTTACTTAGAGGTTGAAAGATTCCACGCCATGGTCGTTGAAAAAAATTATTCTAAAATTTAGCAGGTAATTTAGTGTTAACAACTGGGTTGAAAACGTAAATTAGCCACCGTAAAGAGTAAAAAAGCTGACGTTTCGAGCGTTAGCCCTTCGTCAGAGCGATCGCTCGAAACGTCAGCTTTTTTACTCTTTACGGTGGCTAATTTACGTTTTCAACCCAGTTGTTAACACTAAATTACCTGCTATACTCTCCCACCGACGCAGCACCACAGTTTCTTTAGAAACTTACCCCTTTATTCTAAAATTTAACCTAATTGCTCTGAGTTTCCATTAGATGCCTAAGTTTAATTGTTTGGGGTCTTTCTGTTCTTGTTCAGGAACATATTGCCTCTGAGGTTTGTGTGAGTCCGAGTTTTTCGTATGAGAAAGCCTGAGTTTAAACATTTGGTGTCGTTCGCGTTTAATCAGGCATGGCACATAGGCATATTTGCTTCTGCGTGTGTTTGTTACTGGACCGCCTTGATAAATATTTTCATAACGACAAGTGATTCTTTGCACTTTGGTTGTGTATTGTGTGGTTTATTTTTTTCTTATTATTACTTATATTTTTTTGAGCCGAATTCTGGATTCCATTATCGACGTGATTCGGTAGAGACGTATT